ATTTCTGTTTTCCATATTGATTATTCAGATATTTCAACTTGAGCAATCTACTTCAACTATCTCAACGTTCAAGTCAGTGAATTTTCCGCTCTTGTAAAAACTGAATGTTAAAACTAACCGCTCCTGAATTTTAACATTCGTCGTCTGAGATAAATCTTTTTTGATCAATGTAATTTGGTGAAAAAAACAAAAAATTGTTTGTTTAACCAATAAAGGCTGGTCCAATAAATTAATCTGAGGCATCGCTTTGGATAAGTTGACGTTACGATAAGAGTTACTAACTTCTGAAATCTCTCAAGTCTCTAACAAGTTTTTATCAGAACCATAGACCTGCTAGGCGTCAGCACGAAAAAATCCGCTATGTTTCTTGTTTTAGTTTTTCTGAGTCAACAGCACTCCCTCCAGCAATCACTATATAGTTCAGTGGCAACATGAATAATTAAAAATTTAATCGGACCCTAAGATTACTAAAATTTTATTATCAAAAATATTCGTTTAGCTACGACGCTGTATCGTGAATCCTTATGATGTTTTATGGTATAAACAATTGAATTGAAGGTACGATATTAATAAATAACGTCGAATAATCAGAGTAATTTGCTTCAGCGCGACAGAACTCAGATGCGACTGTATTATCATGTGCTCATTGTTTAGTATGAGGCATTGTGTATCGCTACATCGCGTTATTATATTGTATGTTTGAATGCCAAACAGGCCTGACTGTCACAATAAATGGGTTCTTCGTTGGGTAGATTTCATTGCCAGAGAGGAAGCTTGTTAATTCAGACGTTATTGTCGTTATATTCTGCCGGTTGTTCGTTTAACAGTTCGTATAATATTAATAATGTTACTATGCATTTGTTTATTATGGTCAAAGACAAAGTGTGCAATATTTCAATGTGCAACTTTCGAACATAATTTATTTGTCTGAAAGTATATTGTGCGTTCTCGTTTTATTCCCAAATTGTTCAGTGGAAATTACTCGATCACTTGATATCGATTCTGCCACAAGCTCTGTATAGTTTATATAATCAACAGGAACTCATGTTAAATTATAACGGCTTTTGACTTTAAGTCGATCAGTTCAGAAAAACATGGAAGTTCGAAATTTCCACTTTAAATTTCTTTATTTTCCACGAAAGTCACTCAGTGTGTAAAATAAACAGTAATATTTATATTCTTTTATTAACATAACTTTTAGATGGGTGATTTTAAGTTTAATCTTCGATTCAACCGAGTCCAAAGCTCCAATATTTTATCAAAAAAGAGCATTTGCATAAGTATAGATACGGTAAATAGCATTTCAATGCCAGTGTAACTAATTTTAGCTATGGGATTTTAAAATACGTTTTATTCAATGTTATTTGAATGGCCACACAAATTGAGTTAAAATACAAATTACAAATGCTGATAAGTTCGATTGTAAATGGCTCAACTAACCGCAGATCGAGGTCAAAGTTCGATCGCAGTTATCACTAAAATATTATTGTTTGTTTCATGTGACAATTCACTTTATATGTGTTTCGTCGCTACCTCTGCGTTAAAATTGATAAAAAATGAACCCTGCCAGCTTGATGGTTTAACTTCTTAATCCTGGGCGAAGTGCGAAATAGCGTGACGGATGTGACACAGTTTGTTTTACAAGTAGAATATTTTCTTCGCAGACAAAGGCGATATTGTCACGATAAAAGCCGACACTCACCCGACGCGATCCGCCAACGCGTGACGAGTTTTATGATTTTAATTTCACGAAGTGGCGAGCAGGGCCGAAACTCGCCGAAACTAGAACGGTAATTGGGGGGTACTTTTCGTATATTCAGTTCTGCCCGACAGATTTCTTTTGTACCTGCATGCAATAGCTTGCAAATAAAATTCGTCCGGCAGAACTAAATATAAGAATAAACACCCTCAATGATCGTTCTAGCTCGGCCCTGCTCGCCATTTCGTGAAAATCGAAAATTTCCAACCAAAGCAAACAATTACCTGAACTAGCTGGACCTAAGCTTAATATATTATGGCTACGCAAGGGTTAATTATGCTCAGGATATGCATGCATATTACCATAATTATAAAAATAGGAGATATCACCTTCCATGCGTGGAGAGTATTTGATTTTTGCCACAAGAAAATATGAGTAAATATAATTTTTGGCTTTTCGCAAATATCAAAAACTTTTCCTTCCAAGCTAGACAGTTTCGGTAAATAATTAATGCAGTAATCTTAGTGTCAATCATTTTGGCCATCTGTCATAAACATGTAAACCTCCTATGCAGGCCGTCTTCGGGCAAATATGGCGGGCGGTGATATTTTGCGGGTAAAAGTTTGCGTATCTTTATAGCCCGAGCGAAGCTAAATATAGGTGCATTAGGCAACTGCAAGCTCTTATGTCAGTCAACTGTGTTTTATATTTCTCGCGGTCGAGCATTTTAGCAATACGTCGAGAAGGCTTAATTCGATTAAAATAGTACTATATGTAGTTAAGTCGTGAAGTGAGGTTCACAGAGGACATGTTTGAAAATTTTATATTTGTTGATAAAAATTAATTTAAGTTATGAACGTTCTTAAGTATTGATCGATTGAGCAAAAGACCAACTCGACTGTACGACAACGTCTTAAAAAAAACAAAATATAACAGCTGGCGCGAGCTTCTAACGCCAACCTACATTTCTTGCTTACAACGCTGATTGGTTGGATAAGGATCAGCCCACTCTGGTTGATGGTGTGTCCCTCAACCTTCACTTTAAAAAGGAGTGCACAACACCAGAATCTTCAGAGTGGACCAGAATCGAAGTGGACCAACGGAGTAAAAGTCATATGAAACGTCGAGGAAGCTCAATAAGACAAAACGGACAGAGAAAACACGAGAGTCACTTTAAATTAGATTAGTTTAATTTTCCTCCCACACATTTAATCCCACAGGGCAATATAGGTCATTAACTTTTCGATTTTCAAAAATTTCCACGAGGCCACACGATATATTGTTCAATAAAATCAAGAAAGTACCTATCAATCCATACACTATAAATTGGATGATTGACTTTTTAAGCAACCGTAAACAGAGAGTGAAAGTTGATGGTGTCACAACTGAATTTTGGGATATTAATCGTGTCGCACTCCAGAGAACTGTACTTGGTCCCGTAATGTTTACCGTAACGGTTAAATGATATTAAGCTGGTGAATCTCTACAATTATTTATCTAAATTTGGTGACGATATCACAATAATCGCCCCAGTTTATGACCACGAAGATTCAGCTGGGGATGAAGTGGATAATATGGAACTATGGTCACAGAAAATGGAATGTCTCTAAACATGAATAAAACCTATGAAATGATAGTTCGTGCAAAGGTGTCTTTCCCTCCTCCGGAGTAGATTCCATCAATAGTACGGAAAGAATAGCTGAAATTATTGGGTGTCACGATAGAAGAAATACCTGGAAAATGGGATAAACATTTTGAAGAGATAATGAAAAAGGCTTGTAAAAGAATGAGAGTGTGCAAACGTTATGGGTCTTCTTCGCATCAGATGGAACTTCTCTTCAATAGTCTTATTCTCTCCCTCTTCACTTTTGGAGTTGAAGTCTCGGGTGGGGCATCGTACTATAAATATATCAGCCAGATCCATAAGTTTATTAATCGTGCCTACAGAAATGTTACCAACAAATCAGATTTTAAAGTAGTAATAACAAACAGAGACAAAAAGTTGTGGTCAAGAATTGTGGAAGACGAAAACAATGCTCTACATAAACTATCACCTAGCAAGTTAAAGCGCCTTTTGCGACAGAGAGGCCATGAATTTGAACTCACAATAGCTAAAACAGAGATATTCAAAAAAGCTTTTATAAATAGATGCTTATTTAATTTTATATAAATTATTATAGAACTAGAACTTAGGTTATTCTAGAACTTAGGTTATTACATCATAGTTTCTATTTATTCTTACTTCAGAGATTTTAAATTCTATACTTTTAATTGATGTAAATACTCATAATGATGTATACCCAGGTAAAAATCTATGTAAACTCAAACGTTTGTTTTGAGTATTCTAATAAAGACTTTTGAATTGAATTGAATTGAATTGAATTGAATTGGATTGAATAACGCATGGTCAATGGCTTCAAGAAAATTTAGTACATTTTGTATATCGTTATTTATTTCCTTCGTCTTGAAATTAGCATGCAAATAAAGCATGCGCTGTGAAACAGGATTTCCAAAAATCTCGGGGCAAATAACGGATTATGCCAGATCCTTCGCCGTTCCTTCCTCCGAGGATCGCGGGCTTTAGGTACGAGATTGTCACACTTCACTCAAAACCTGAGCTTCGCTTGTGTGTGAGTGGTGTCTTTGAACAGTTGGAATGTGAGTGTAGCATTATACTACTGTATGTGAGTGTGGGAGGACATTCATTGATTGGTGAGTTGCGCAGTTGTAAGTTAGCGAGGTCACTCATTGAGTATGAGCGTCCGCTCATTCAGTGTTAGTGTGAGCGAGGTCTTTCATTTTTCAGTTTTCAGAAGCACATAAATTTATTCCATGCAGGCTGATGCAGCCAAATATGGAGTCTATGGGCGCCAATATACAAAAATCGCGCCGCGTTCCCAAATCGCGTACGGTCTGTGTGGACCTTTAAGGCCCGTTTACACCGGCGATTTTTGCTGCGATTTCATGTGCGATTTTCTTCTTTTGATGAATGTGAACGAGTGAATTAGTTACGGACGCTCAAATAAGAGCTCTTATTCATCAGAGCATTCGTAATTAGTCACTCGTTCACATTTCCCAAAAGATGAAACATAAAATCGTACCTAAAATTGCAAGTGGAAACGGGCCTTTGGAAAACAGGCGTTATAGTTTTTTAAAACTATTTTTTAAAAAGAATTTGTAGTTCAGGAAGAAATTTTGGGGCAAGAGTAAACTTTTTAAATCCCTCATAGGTACAGGTACTTCAACGGGCAAGTAAAGTATTGAGTGTGCGCGGAGAAGAAAGCAAGCTGCAATTTTGGGATGAGCTGAGACAGCAATTCGAACAAGCAGATACTCGAGGATTGCTCAAAATGGTAAAATATCTAGTTCAAGAGGAAGCTCATTTAAATGAGTTCGATACGGAAGGAGGTGCAGTGTTGCACTATGCCGTTACCTCATGTAGTCTAGAAGTGGTAAAATATCTTGTTGAAAAGGGTGCTGATGTAAATGGCAAGAAAACTAACGGGTGGACTGTGCTGCACTCTGTTGTTACCGAAAGTACGCAGGAAATATTGAAACATCTTGTTGAAAAGGGTGCTGATGTAAATGGCAAGAAAAAAAACGGGTGGACTGTGCTGCACTCTGCTGTTACTGAAGGTAGGCTAGAAATAGTGCAATATCTTGTGGAAAATGGCGCCGACGTAAATGGCAAGATGAATAACGGAAGGACTGTGCTGCACTGTGCTATTGTTAAAGGTATGTTGGAAATAGTAAAATATCTTGTTGAAAACGGCGCTGATGTAAATGGCAAGGATACTGATGGGTGGACTGTGCTGCACTTTGCTGTTATTGAAAGCAGTCTGCAAATGGTAAAATATCTTGTTGATATGGGCTCTGATTTTAACGGCAAGGATTCTGACGGCTGGTGTGTGCTGCACTATGCTGTTACTGAAGATAGGCTAGATATAGTAAAATATCTTGTTGGAAAGGGTGTTGATGTCAATGACAACAAGACTAATGGATGGACTGTTCTGCATTCTGCCGTTACTAAAGGTACACTTGCAATACTAAAATACCTTGTGGAAAAGGGCGGTGATATAAATGCTAAGGATTCGGATGGGCGGACTGTGCTCCATTCTGCTGTTACTAAAGGTGGGCTAGGAAAAGTAAAATATCTTGTTGAAAATGGTGCTGATGTAAATGGCAAGGACACTGACGGGTTGACTGTGCTGCACTCTGCTGTTATTAAAGGTGCACCTAAAATAGTAAAATATCTCGTTGAAAATGGCGCTAATGTAAATGGAAGGAAGACTACAGGGTGGACTGTGCTGCACTCTGCTGTTGCTGAAGGTTCTATGGAAATACTGAAATACCTTGTTGAAAAGGGCGCGGATGTAAATGGCAAAAAGACTAGTGGTTGGACTGTGTTGCACTCTGCCGTTGGTAAAGATACACTGGAAATAATAAAATATCTTGTGGAAAAGGGTGCTGATGTAAACGGCAAGGATACTGACGGGTTGACCGTGCTGCACTATGCTGTTACCAAAGGTACACTGGAAATAGTGCAATATCTTGTGGAAAGTGGTGCTGAGGTGAATGGCAAGGATACTGACGGGTTGACTGTGCTGCACTCTGCCGTTACTGAAGATGTGCTGGAAATAGTAAAATATCTTGTCATAAATTGCGCTGATGTAAATGGCATGGATTCCGACGGGATGACTGTGCTGCACTCTGCTGTTACTGAGGGTACACTGGAAATGGTGGAATATCTTGTGAAAAATGGTGCCGAAGTAAATGGCAAAATGACTAACGGAAGAACTGTGCTGCACTGTGCTTTTGGTAAAGGTATGTTGGAAATAGTAAAATATCTTGTTGAAAATTGCGCTGATGTAAATGGCAAGGATTCCGATGGGAGGACAGTGTTGCACTCTGCTATTACTGAGGGTACACTGGAAATAGTAAAATATCTTGTAGAAAAGGAAGCTGATGTCAATGGCAAGGGTACTGACGGTTGGACTGTGCTGCACTCTGCTGTTTCTGAAGGTGCGCTAGAAATAGTAAAATGTCTTGTTGAAAAGGGCGCCGATGTTAATAGCAAGAATGCTAACGGATGGACTGTGCTGCATGCTGCTGTTACTGAAGGTACGCTCGAAATAGTGAAATATCTTGTTGAAAAGAGCGCTGATGTAAATGGTGAAGATAGTAAGGGAACAACAGTTTTACACGCTGCTGTCAATACTGGTGGATTAAAAATGATCAAGTATTTTGTCGAACAGGTTGCTGATATAGCTCTTACAAATAAAGTCGGCAGTCATACTCTTGGCGCTATTATTCTAAAGATAGCAATCGTGAAAAATTCGGTCGATTTGGTAAATATCCTGTTAAAAAAGAATGTCATTTTTTGGAAAGGTGGGACATTTCTTATTGATGGAAGAAATATGAATCTTCTTGAATTGTGTATTCACCTTGGTCATGATGAAATTGCGACTGTTCTCAAAAAGTCCGTAAAACATCGTGAGAAAATTCATGCACTGAGAAGAACGACTTGCAACCAGTTAGAGAAGGTAGTACTTGAAAGATTTTTTATATAAATTTATATAAGGTTCCTTCAATGAATTTGGGCAATTACCAAGACTGTGAACCGACTGGGTCATGATCTTTTGTTCTCATTTGTTTTTGAAATTTCATTTAAGATCTCGTTGTGAAAGTTTGGTGGCGGATTGTGAATATATACAGGGAAGAGAGGGCAGAGGGCTACCCATTCCAGTTTTAAATCTCAAATTCCAAGCCCGTTGTTGATCTTGAATTTCAAATTAAGCCCTCGCCTCGATTGCGAATTTCAAAATTAAAACCGATAAACGTATATGAAAACCTTCTATACCTAAAAACCAAGTAAAGAGATAAAAATTAGCTTCGAAATAAAAACAAGTAAAGAGATAAGTGTCGGAAAGATACTGTCAAAAATTACTTCTAAATAAGAACCAAGAAAAGAAATCACTGTCCGAAAGATACCGTAAAAATAACTTCTAAGTAAAAACCAAGTAAAGAGATAACCTTTGAAAAGAAACTGTCAAAAATAATTTGTAATAACCTGATGAAAACAAAATAAAATCGGCTTTCTTACAAGTATTCAGCACCTGAGGAGCTTTCAATAAAGCGAAAACGTTTGTGCAAAATGATTAGATTTAGTTTTTTGAATTTTGGTGTTTCAAGCCATTTGAGGCAAAGTGCCTTTCAAAGAGTTAATTAATTCTGTTTCTTATACAGCCTGATGAGCCACCTTAAAAACAGACTTTATTTCAGACAATTACTCATTCAACTACCTTACAGTATTTTTGTTTGTAATAACCCATATTAGAAATATGTAATAATACTTTAGTATGCACATTACTGTATTTATTTGTTAATTTTTCCCCAATGTTGCCCAATATCACCTAAAGTCGCTTTCTTTCTTCACGCCATGTATAAAAAATCTACGATTTTTTTTTTCATAGACTGAAAATTCCTATGCAGGGTTTTGTCGCCCATGGGCAATTCAGAATTGGCGATGGTGGTTATTCATGTGTCTATGTTGGTCTCATGATGGATGGAAGTGAAGTTGCTGTTAAGAGAATGGTGGTGCAAAAAATGCGACAAAATAGCTGAAAATGAAAAAGAAATAATGAGTCTGATAAAAACAGGCAACTCTCCATTTATCGTGAGCTATCGACATTTTCATAACGACGGGAATTTTGCGTATCTAATTGTTGATCTTTGTGAGGAAACCTTGACGGATCTTGTTGATTCTGAGACCATTGAGCAGCTAAAAGAGCATGGTCCACGAATGATGCAAGAAATTCTTTCCGGACTTGAATTTCTTCATGGTAAAGGAATATTGCACAGAGATCTAAAACCATCAAACATCCTGGTTTGTATCGAAGGTCACATGAAATTGGCAGACTTTGGATTAAGTCGAATTCTAAAGGAAAACGAAACGGCAGTTGAAACAGATGCTAAAGGTACCGAAGGATGGATGTCGCCTGAAGTAATAAAAGCGGGAGAGGAAAAAGAAAAAGGTCTCTTCAAAAAGAAATCGGATGTGCATGTGGCGGGTATGATTGCTTTCTTCATTCTAACTAAAGGTGAACACCCTTTCGGCTTGAAGATAGATCGAATGAAAAATATTTTGAAAGGAAACTCTGTCAATTTGAAGAGGCTTGGTGATCGTAAAGCACGGAAGTTTGTATCATGGCTGATTAGTCACAAGATTGATGATAGACCTTACGCTCACGAAGCGCTGAGGGATAGTTTTGTTAGTAGAGACTGATATAATTCGGATACAGATTAACAAAAGCAGTGTTGAATTATTGCATAAATATTTCTTATTTCGAGTAATACCTGTTGAGCAACGTATATGCAAGGCACATGCAATATTTCATATGTCAGCGCGGTTGCTGAAATAAGTGCTCTGCACGCGTATTTCTTAAAAAAGAACCTTTTACATCTAATTTGGAGATATATCATTCTGGAATCTATTATATAAAGAGTTCGTTCTTAATATTGTTAGAAGATTTAGGAGAAACTAATGGAATAAATCGTGTCTTTTTGTCAAATCATTTTTGGTGAGCGGGGATTTATTTAAAAAATCAAAATTACGAACGCGTGGACCAAACGGTTACTTGACACGCAAGCACAGAATAGACATTATACCAGAAGCCTCTTTCTTCGCATTTTGCTAATGTTTTCGGTTCCAAAATTTTTCAGAAGCGCACTTGTCATTCTACGAAATTCTACGCCATCCTGGTGTGTATAGGAACTTTGTACCCCGAAGAAAAGTTCCTGCACACACCAGGATTGTGTGAGCAAGATAAAAATGGATGCTCAGCGCCATATTGCTTGCGTATTTGGCTTGCGTTAGGTGGCGTCACACTCTCAAAAAAATTCGGACGCCAAATGCAAGGAGTGAGACTTAGCGAGATTTAGCACGAGGACGTAAACGTCAAAGACCAGTTGAAATGCCAAATAAATGGGCGATGCGTCTATATATGGACATTCCACAGCATTTATTCGTTATTTACTTGATAACAACTGAAATATACGCTTTATTTCAACGCTTAATTTATACGACAAAAATTAATCAAAAAATACAAAACAACAAGGTTTAACGGGGGAAACTAGGGGGAAAATAATGTTGACTGTGTAGTTTACATAAACCAGGGACATTCTATTGTAGGGGGCTCAGATTTTAGCCTGGTCAGTACCTACCAGGGGCAAAGAGGACCATATGGCGTCAGCATAACTTCTGCGCATTGCGCAGAAGGCGAAGTCCGCCATGTTTTGGTGAAGCCTATTTCAGATATGTCAGAGCATCTTGTTTAAAAATACGTTTATTTTGTATATATCAGAAAAAAACTAATCTGAAAATTCTAATCTTTTGTAGAAAATACATGGTTTACTAACTATTTTACTGACCCGTTTTACTAACTGGACACTCTTTACAGCGACTCCAATAACACATGTTTTTGCAAAATAAAATCAAAAAGGGGTTTTAAAATTAAAGTAGTTTTTTCCTTGAAAATAATATAAGGCTAGTTTTTTTACTTCTTTTGTCCTTTCAGTTACATTATTTTTGTTAAAACAGCGTCTTTCTGCATCTTTCACTCTTACAAAACCAACTTGCAGCTCTTGGGCCTTTTTAATAACACTAAAAATAATTATTTTCGCTGTTAACCGCCTAAATTAAGTAATCAAAGTGAAGAAAAGATTATTTTGGATGACATTTATTGAATTATGCAACAAAGTCAAAGTTTGTGAGTTAGGCGAGGTTTTTTCAAACACGTTACACAATCGATTTCTTCGTGAAAGCTGCTATATTTTTTGTCTGCCACAGGCAAAGGGCACCACAGCCATAGAAAAGAACCACTCCAATTACACTAGAGTCAATTTATTGGCACCATACGGCTAGAAAGGGTATCGTACTCATTTCATATCTGTGCCCGGCATTGCTTTTGGTAGCCTATACTCTAATAAAATTGGGTCCGGGTACTCATTTTAGCTGGGCTATCTTTAAAACTTGAAACGGGAATGAGAATCTCCGGAATCTTTAAAATGCGGAAATAGAATCTCAAGAGTGAAAAACAAGATTTCGCCGGAAACATTTTGATTTCCCTCCACGTAGTTTTAACCAATCAGATTCTGGAACATATGAACTTCGAAACTTGCTATGTAATGAAATAATATATTCCCAACAGTTAAATAGCCGACTTCTCTAGAACGTGATCTTGCAATATGCGATAATAATGTTCTCATTTTCGGTGACATATATTCAGTGATGTAACGGGCAAAATAGCGGGTACACCATAAAATGAATACAAACAAACTTGCAATAAAAAACTTACAACAAAAACTTATAGTTTTTAAAGTTAAAAACAATGAAAATAAAAAACCCAGCGTTTCTTTTACCATTTGCCGAAATCGGATCGTTTTCCAGTCATGAAGATCCGAAGATCCCTGTTTAAGAATAAGACCAGTACACTATAAACTCTAAAATGCACATGCAGGATCCTTCATTTTCATTTCATTTTACATTAGAGAAAATCTACAAATGACAAGCCTTTCGCAAAAATCGAGTACAAAATTATAACTATTTCTCGAAATATTCCCAAAATGCAAACAAAGTTTATATTTAATCCAGTAAACAAAGTATCTGTTGGCTTGCATTCGCCATTTTTGAATTCCTCAATTGTCATTCTCGATTAAAAAATTGAAAAACATTGTGTGGTATAATATCTATTGCAATGTGGGTGAGCTTCGATCATGTGTATAGATTCTAAAGAAATAATATCAAAAGTCTCACTATATTGATGCTGTTTTCGTGTTCACAAAATTTCCCAAAACACAAGCCATCACACTTGCTGGACTGATGGCTGCCTCTGAATTTCTTATTATTTCTGCCGTTGTTGGCTATTGATCAATATAGATTAATAAATTAATTGTCATATTAATTTTCATCGGTGCCAATTCCAAGACACTAGTGAAATAGATAAGGTATTGTTCCAAGTTCGATTTCCATATGTGAACTAAATTTCCGTATTTGGCCGGTACACGGGCTTCAACCAATAAACCCTTTCGATAATTACATCACAACATTATGGTTTTAAATTTAGCACCACCTTAAATGAGATGGATTTCAAGTTTACTCTCACGATCACGAGTGTTACATGATACCTTAATATCTTGTAACCACAATTATAATTGCGTTATATACTTACTATAACTATATATATTCTATATTCGATGAACATTAGCAAATTTATAGATTTACATGCATGAGTAAGCAAATAGTTATATTAAATACCTTATCCCACAAACGGGTAACAAGATATCAACCACAAACCACGATAGCATGCATGTGCTACAACGCACTGTATTGCGTATGGGAAATGACTTGTAGTTTCAGTTCTTCCCCTAACCAAGCGTAAAAAGTTTGAGCACAGCTAGACAATTCCCTTACGAAAATGTTCTATAGAATCCTATAGAATATGCTATAGCATATTCTAAATCCTATAGAATATTCTATAGGACTTCTTATCCTATAGAATATTCCATTGCCATATTCTATAGAATTTACAGATCCTATAGAATATTCTATAGGACTTCTTATTCTATAGCATATTCCATTGCCATATTCTATAGAATTTACAGATCCTATAGAATATTCTATTGTACATGAATTCACATTAAATATCGAATGATATATTCTATAGAACATGCTGTATAATCTATAAAATGTTATACAGAATGTGACTTTATGTAATAATTAAGGCAATTTAAAATATAGCAATTTTAGTACACGATTGATATTGGTCGAGAAATGTGTTTTCATCTGTCTAGAAACACAAAAGTTGAATAGCATCATATTCGTATTTTGTGTGAGGTCCTCTCGACATACTTTTTAATCTTAATGTTAAAATTTTCCGCAAAAATCATTCGTTTTGTAAGGACAAATTACAAGTATTTTAGACATATCTGTTTCATAATATGCCTGTTCGCAGGTTAGATGGCGGGCGTTTTGCCCAAACAAGGCCGCAAAGTTATGTGGGACTTGTGTAACTGACACGCATAACGCATTATTTTCAAATTGTGAGCGCGTCTTTGTCATTCGTTCAACTGATACTGGTAGAATTTAGCGAGTTTTTCTTTCGTATTTGAACATAAAATACGCAGTACTTGAATTTGTCGATGAGGAGTATAGAAGGTTGGTGAAACGCGCTGGATTATGTGAGAAGAATCAGAAGATTCGGATAATTTTGTGAATGGTACATGACTATAGACTAGGATCGTGAGAAAGAAATTGTGTCAAGGCCATCAGAAGATTTCTGAAAGGTTCCATTGACCCATCTACAATTTCAACAATAACATGTGAAGCTAAAGTATTGGAATTAAGTGGTGAGTGTGTTTGTAGTTATATGCTATAGCCTATATGTTTGTGCAGGCAATTAACAAATATTCTCTATACCCTTTATATTGTATATAGAATACTTAATTTTTAATATATCATTCTAAGAGTGAATATAATGTCTCAAGTGTTTAATTTTGCATTTACTATTAAATTTGCAGATTTGCTTATGTCCAAACATCATACTATAAACCAAAGGTCAAAATGGTATAATTATATTTGTAGGTGCCCTTATGTCCCAGTGTCTCAATAACAAAGACTCAACAGAAGGTTTTAAAAGGAAAAGGCAATTAATTTTAAAGGATTTTGTGTACTCAATATTATGGGTATATTGTGGAGCCGGGAGGTTCTGTCCACACACTCCATGACAGGAAAGATCTCCAATGCATTAAAGGAGAAGGATGCCAAGCCACAACTTGACAAGGAAAAAGTCAATGGCATATGTGGTAAGCTGATAACTTATTTCAGTTAGCTAAATATATATTGTATACTATTTCATCACTCACAGCATGGTAAGACAAGTCCTGCATTTTTAAATAATTTTTCAATCATATTCCTTAATGTAGAGTATACTTCAAAAAGATATGGTTGTCCTGCATCTGAAGTGTGACAAGTAATGCTAAGAAAATGCTAAAAAGAAGTCCTGCGAAAAATAATGAACTGAGCTACTGGTCAGACAAACACTTTAAAAATATCCAACATATAGAATAATAGACAATAATTAATATTACCAAAATACATTACAAACAAAAGTATTCAATGTTGCACAACTTTTGATGTACTGATACATATACTAATATTTCTAATATATATCTTTTTATTCTTGAAGTGATTTTCATCATTGATGTTTTCTCATGGCTAAACATAATATATTGGTAATATTGCACAGAAGAGTGAATAGCACTTCTTAATTGTGTAATATTGCAATTGCATGTTCTGTAGAATATGCTACTGTATGTAGCATATCCTATAGCATTCTATAGGATCTTCTATAGCATCTTCTATAGAATCTTCTATAGGATCTTCTATAGAATCTTCTATAGCATCTTCTATAGCATCTTCTATAGAATCTTCTATTGAATGTTCCATAGAATATCCTATACAATATTCTATATAGAATATTCTATAGAATAGGAACACACAAATGCTGAAGAGAAAGAATAAGGCTAAACTTATAGAGCCAAACACCTGACGATGCTGATTTAGGCTGACAACACAGATCAACATGGATTTCCAACTACAGAGCTATTCGCTGTCCAAGTTACCATTCAAGTGAGTCAACCTGTCGAACTATGTTACTCAGACCAGATAAGTTATTATTAAGAAATAGGATCTGGTTAATCTAAATTACAATAATTAAATTACAAAAAGTTTTAAAATGCTCAACACTGTTCTCATTTTTGCTCGTTCTTAACGGCGAACGTAACACGAGCCGCGTGCAAAGATATAAAACATCCTTCTTACCATTAAATGTGAAAATAAGTCATAACACTAAAACGAGGCTACCGGGCCATAACCGACAGCCTCGTTTTTGTGTTATGGCTTATTTTCACACTCCTTTGTCGAAATAAAAAAATATTTTTCGTCCATACGTTGAAGAAGGATGATTCACATCTTTGCACATAGATTGTTAGAGTAAAACTTGAAATTCCTCTCAGTTAAGGTGGTTCTTAGCCTGCGTGCAGTCCCAGACTTCCAAAGGAAGAAGGGACTGCGCAACTTGGGCCGAAAGCTTGCTACGCCAGCTTTCCCGATTTTGGGGAAAATAATTTATGCAAGATAATTAATGCGCTAAATATGCAGCTGCTCGAATATGTAAACCTAATAATATGGCGGCAAGCAAAGATTGTTTTGGCGTGCCATAGTTCGCGAAAGGTAATAAATTGTTAATATGTCCTCCAAAATTTGTGTTTTATGTTTCGAACCGTTGTTAAAGCCAACAGATCTTAATTTGGTTCATGGAAAAGCTAATATAAACGCTGAATTAAACGATTTGCCGTTTGTTGTTCACGGTTCGTCGCCTTATATATGTAAAGGATGTCTCCGGCTGATAAAGAAACGTAAGAATTTGAAGGAAAATTTGCTTAACATCGACGAACAGCTAATATTATTATCGCCAGAAATGTGGAGATTATGGCTTTTCGATGAAACGAAGAGAAAGTGGATCAGCAGTAACCAGAAAGTTAAGTTTTCCAAACAACCCAACCAATACAACGAAACACATGCAGCATGACATTCAAGTTCAGTGTGTTGGAATCCACAACGAAGCAATGCTAAATTTAGAAAATAATCAATTCAGATCAAGGTACTGTTGTAAAAACTGTTTACTTCCATACACATCAATATTTTACACCAAATAATTTTACCAGTCAGTGAAACATTTTTATTACTTCCAATTAATGGGTGTATGGGTTACAGAACAGTATCTTCTGATAAATCAATTAAAATAAATTTTCCCAAATATGCCCGCTTTAGTATTTTATTGTGATTTTTTGTTTGTTTTAGCCCACCCAAGTCCGAAAAACAAAACCAAGGATGTGCGTCAACACCAGTAAGCAAGGGCTCTGTATTAATTCCTGAAATTCCGATATCACCAATCCACACAGAAGTCAATGTACCAAAGCTCATGCCAAATGAATGTCCAGTCACTGTTTCAATCAAGTGGGCCGACCGAACTAAGACAAAAGTCTTACCACCTGAACTGAGTGCCTTAGGGAAAATGTTATGTCGTGGTACAAAGAAACAAATAGCAAGAGCTGTATGGCGTTGCGAAATGGTACGCAAGCATATTTATGAAGAAGTTGTGAAACAAATACATAAAGAATGTGTGGCCATGTGTGCAAAAGCCTGCACCAAAAAAACGAAAAAGAGAGAAGATAGCTGCTTGAGGAAAACTGATAAAGAAAGCATTATAAACTTTTCCTTTGACAATTTAATAACCGAATTACAAGAAAGAGCCCCCTTGCTTCTCATGGTGCTGAAGACTGCTGCTCTTAAAGCAAATGATGATGAAGAGAAATGGAAGCAATCAGTTGGTGTTGCTGCATCCGTTTGTCTTCGTAACAGATCAAGGAACATGATCGCACTCCAATTAATGATATCTATTATCAATCGCCATTCTGGATTTATGGTACAGTAATACAATATTTTTAGTAACATATGATTAATAATTTTCTTCTATTTGTAATATTTGTTGTGTTTTGGTAGACATAGGTTATGTATTATGTAACTAAAGGCACTCAATGTGTAATACAGTAATTCCCCTTCCATTTGTTTGTCTATTGCATTTTTCATTTCTTATAAGTTTTACCATAAATAAAAAAAATAATAAAACATCCCCTTCATTTAAATTCAATTATCCTATATATACCTATATAAATACAGTACAGTTCTGAAAATTTCATTTGCAGGCTATGATGAAACGTATGCAGGCCCTGAGGTTGATGCCATCACATACATATTTCTACAAGAAACTTACTCAATTTGGTAAAAACCATAACAAAGAAATTCTAGATATGGTGGAAAATGAAGGAAAACGAATGACAGCAATGGGAAAAATTGAACTGGTGCAGAAAGAAGGGGACACTCGGTTACCTGGCCCTGGCTCTAAAGACGAAACAATTGTAAGTAGTTTTATTAAAAGTTAGAATATTATAGTTACTTGTTAAGTTACCTGCTTCAGACATGATAGTACCTGTTCCATTTACAAAAAGAACCCATGGGATTTGGTATATCAAGAAGATTCTTTTGAACATAGCAGATTTGTTGGATAAAAATTTGTTTGTGCATTAAATTTTTGCACGACAATATTTCAAGACAATATTTGAATGACGATTTATGAGGTTTTTTTCCAAACAGGAAAATTTCCAAACAAATGAAATTTCCAAAGATAAAACGACTGGCGAGTATGGAAAAAGAATCCTAGAGTCATTCAAATGTCTGCAAGAAGAAGTAAATACTGGAAATTTTATTGATGTACCAATAGAACCCATCTCCATATTTACCAAACAGCAAGGAGATCAACAAGATATCCAAGGTGATGACCAAGATGATTCCATCATCAATGATAGCCCTTCAAGCAATATTGGACCATCCCCCATGTCACATGCTGACATTTTGAAATACTCGAAGTTGTCTCCTGATCATGGACGGAAGTTAACTCTTGACAATATTGACATACACCAGGCAACACATGATATGACAGAGGAGAATCAGAATCCAGATGCTCATTATTGTACACTTATGTCAACGGAGAACCGAGTGTCGGGTAATCACTTGAATAACGATAAGCCAATATGCGATCTAAATGCATTGGAAAATGCGACATTTTGCCCAAGCAAATTTGAGCACAGTAAGCAGCGTCAAAACTACATTGACTTGGTTAGCAGAGTTATGACCAACTCCATTTCTTGCTTGAAAGGCTTAAAAGAAGCAGTTACCTACCACATATCACACCAGTATTCCAAAGAAATGGCGAAACCTACCGATACTGTAAGTTGAGAAAGATATGCATAATATAATATTTATTAAATTCACATTCAAGAGCAAATGTTATTAACAACGTTTTGCCCTCAGTGCGTTTTGCCCCCTAAGATGGCGACTAGTTAGTAGTTACGAAGCTTGTCATGTGTTCCGTCACGCGCAAGTGGTCTGGTCTTTTTTTCATGGGCCCATGGCCATGGGTCAATAAATAAAAAACTATATATAGATGATAAGGTAGTGCTGGCAATTCAGGTACTGGATAGTGCATGATGTGTATATTGTCTTTTGTCATATAGACTCTTATTGGTGTCATATACGAAAATGAAAATAATGCTGATGGAATGCAAAATATTCTTGACTACCTTCAAAATTACGTACCGTCATATGAGCGAGAGGGAACGAAGAAATATGCAGAACAGGCTGTCGTAGGTGATCAGCTTACGGTTGAAAGAGGAGTGAACGGGTTGTTCGAAGTATCCAATGGATTTACTGCGGAAGAAAGGCACGAAGGACTTCATTTCGAAGTCGCCGATTTTCATGGTGGAATGAAGTTTTTGGAGGTAAATTTTCGAACGTATCGATTGGATAGGAATCAGAATGTTTTTAATTAGTAGAATGATCTGAGTGCTTTTCCATTATGGTAATAGATTTCTGGGAGATTACCATAATATTTCCATCCTAAAGGTTTGATTGTATTGTATTGTATTGTGCTGTACTGTGTGAAACTCTAGGTATGGTTTCACTTTACAGTTTTATCGTTTTGTAGTATATCTTCAGTCACTTTTACCACCCAGTTGCAACCAACGACAAATGCACCCTGTACAGCGACAGAAATCTAATTAATAGAAGGAATGTTCGTACAGATGTGTCGAAAGATGTTAGCGCATGCAAGAAATTCTTTCTACTTGAACTGGATGCAAGAATTGTGGCTGCAACGATGAATGAACTGGGCATTGAAGATATTGATGCTACGCCAAGCACGGACAAATTGAAGATGGATATTGAGAATGCCTCAATTCGAGAGAAGCGCGAGTGCTTGAATGTACTGGCTGGCAAAGTAGTCAACAAGTACATCCTCAGGGACGATAAAGTGCAAGCAATCCTTGATAAAACACGAGTAGCAACTGAAGCCAGTAAAAAAGTGGAAACATCTGATGGAGAGAGGTACATGTGTAGGTTTCCTGGTTGCACCAAATCATTTCGCTATGATGGGAAAAGACGACGTAATCATGAAAAAACACACGGTGAAATGGTTGTTGAGGAGAATCGTGACACGGAAAAATGTGTGGTAATGAAGGACGATATGTTTAATTACCAGTCTTCCGTACTTGAGGTTGGTCTCCTTCTTGCTAATTTTTATGACGCTGTTACGGAAGGGGATGGACAGCGCCTAATAAGATGTTGGAAGTTTATGCTACCGTATTTTAAAGAGGATGGCCAAAGCAGCAAAAAGTATGCCCTTGAGGCATTTTTCCTCCTTTGCCAAATCAACAGCTTTCTTTCGCCGCGGGCTGCGCACCGTCTAATTTGGAACAGGTTTCATAAGTTAAAACCTGGCCGTGGTGGAAATATTCCCCTCGATTTGGCGCTTGAACATTACAACCGGTTGATTAAAATTCTAATAAGAAATCTTGGACCAAATGGATTAAACAAACAAGCCATGGACAGGTATTGCAGTGCTCTTTCTGTTACCAGTGAAATGTTAGACAATTTTGATAACATGTGTGTTATCACAAGAAGATCTGGTAAGCATTCTAGCCGTTCTGCAGATGGGGATCTCCGGAAGGTAGTGAATGAACTAATCCAACAGAAAGCAATGCAACCCTCAAACGGAAGATGTTACAGCCATTTTTCAGATATGAAAGACAGTTTATTGGCAGACCATGATGCAAGTGCATTTTTCAAATGGCTAAACATGCACAAAAAAATAGTACATCTTCACAAGTGTGCACGTTGAAACAGACATTGTGGTATAGTACAAAATAGAACAATCTCTCCAAGGATGCCAGCGAGGGGTGCAAAGGGGGGGGGGCATTTGCCCTTCCTTCCCCTTTTTAAGGGGGGAGGAAGAGGTGCCCTTTTCATCAATCAAAAATGCTTGCTATTTCAACTAGTTTTTGTTTCAAATTCATAATTTTCGATTTGCTCATAGAAATAATAATTAAATGAGCTGAAATTTGGGTATCATCAAAATAGCATGGCTACAAAATTTTCTTTATGACTGCTCTTAGGTTTGAATGCCCCCCCTCCATACCCTTTCACCACTCCCGCATCACCTGAATCTCACCTCAAAAATTTTTGTACAATAAACAAATGTATATTATATATATAATATAATATTACTATCATAGTGCAGACTATAATTACAATATAATTAACTAAATGGATGCACTAATCATGTTCCATGTTTTCAATGTCTTTTGTTATATGATTTAAAATAAAACTCACATTGTCATTGTCAAATCCCACACTTTGATTTAGGCTATTTTCCTCAGTAATGTTTGATAAGTCATCAAATTTTGAATCACCAAACAATTCAGCCCTTCCGGTGTCATCTCGTATTTCTTCCCAATCTTCTTGAACTACCTCCATATCTTCAAAATCCTCCTCTGACAGGGAAAACAAAACATCACCATTCATATCTTGAAAAACCTCATTTAAAATGGTATAAACCATATTTGCATGAGTATTTCTCCATAACTCGACACAGCTGATAATGTCATCCATAGAGCATAAATGATCACAGTTTGCTAGAACTTGTTCAATTTGATAGTGGTCAAATTCGAACAATATGCCTGTGGAACCAACAGGTAAAAATTGTTCTGTGGTTGCTGGAATTAAGCTTGCTCTGTAGTCAAGAAGTTTCTGTCGCAGGAGTGCTCTTTGATCCTTAGAGGTATATCGCTTAATGCTAAATGATCTATCATTTGGCTCTGTTGCTGTTTCCCCAAAGGAAATCATGGAAATATTTTCATGTTCAGAACAGTCACAATTTTTACTACAATGATCACAGCACAAACAACCTGTTGGATAAGACATAGTTGAATTTGTTTGGAAAAGGTTGCTAATATGGTTTTGGCGACAGTTCTTTGTCTCCACAAGTTGTTTAATCTGATTATCACAATGAGATGTCAGAAGCCCATTGTATAAGACATAACAAATGCATTGTTTTCCATCCCTCCCTAATCTTCCCGTTTCCTGTATAAGGCTCTCCACAGTGCTAGAAGGACCAAAATGGATGCTGGAATACACATCTTTACAGTCAATACCCATCCCGAATGCTACTGTGCATATCAACAGCCTAAGGTGACTATGATCCTTTGTCATTTCATTAACAACATGAACTTTCACTGAGTCAGGGCTTCCAGCATGAAACATTTGCACTAGACAGCGGTCATAACTTAAGCTACTGTCAATAAAGTTCTTCTCACCAAGAGCAGCAGTAAATAACCTGTACACTATAGAACATTGCTTTCGTGTCTTACAAAACACAATGCACCTTTCTGTGGTAATACCTTTAGCTTTAAGTTTCTCGATCAGGGTCCCAAAAACAGTCTCTAGAGGCTTATCCTTGCTGAGGTGGACAAACTGATAGCTAATATTTCCTCGTAAAGGTGGTTTCTCAATCTCAAAAGTGCTGTAGACATTTAAATTCAACATTTGATAAATAATACTCTTCGTGGCTTTTGTTGCAGTTGCAGTAAATACAGCATATCGAGTAGAAGAATGGAGCAATGACTTCAACTCCACAACATTGGCATACCATTTTCTAAATGGGCTTTCCTTTTGAGTAGATGTTCCCCTAAAGAATACAATCAGAATACAATTATGTAATACAATTGATTAGACATACCTTATTTTCAGATATACCGTACAAAATAATATTCTTGCTTACCAATGTACCAAGCAATGCGCTTCATCTATGACAACCGCGATGCAGTCTTCACGAAATGTTTGAGAACTTGCAAGAGTCCTCCAACGTTTTTTCCCGACGAAGCATTCTGGAGTTGCATACACCAACGAATAAACACCTTCCTCGATTGCTTTTAAAACATCTTCGTCTTGGTTATCGAATATAGCAGCCGCAGATATCCCAAATGAATCATTTACATGCTTTACTTGATCCTTCATGAGTGATAATAATGGCGATATCACAAGTACCGTACTTGTGCCAATTACTTGTTCGTTTAAAACATCAGCAATGATCGGTATGGCTTGGAAAATGAGAGACTTTCCGTAGCCAGTGTGAGCGCTAAAAAACAAGTCTTTGCCTTTAAAGAAATTACGCAGGGCTTGCTCTTGATCCGGATAAAATTTTTCAACATTCAGAAGAGAACAGGCTGTAGAAATAGCGACAGAAAGTTGAGCAGAATCAAACACTCCTTTGCTTGCCGCCATATTATTAGGTTTACATATTCGAGCAGCTGCATATTTAGCGCATTAATTATCTTGCATAAATTATTTTCCCCAAAATCGGGAAAGCTGGCGTAGCAAGCTTTCGGCCCAAGTTGCGCAGTCCCTTCTTCCTTTGGAAGTCTGGGACTGCACGCAGGCTAGGTGGTTCTAAATTTAAAACGATAATATTGTGACGTAATTATCGAATAGGCTGTTAGAACACGCGTTATATACAGTCATGTTATTTCATAATTATACCAGAGTGATGCATGTGCGTGTACTACACCTATGCTATTAATTACGTTTCGTTGGTACTGGAACAAGATTCAGTACTCGACTACTCGCCGAAATTCGAAATTCAATGATGCGTTACTATTCTGCTACTTAAATTTTCCAATAATTGGACCAGTTTTACAGTCGAGGTTTTTTGATACGAAAAGCAATATAGCCAATACTATTTCCATTAACTGAGGATACGTCACACGTAGCTCATATTTATTTCAGGGACATCCCACACGCGTTTCCTCTTTCTGCCTTAATGTCGCTTCGGAAATCAAGCATACATTTGTCCCAGAATTGATGATTCCAATATGACGCTCAACCATGCATGCACATTCAATAATTGAATGTTTAATATTAAAAAAAAATCAGGACACATCAAGTTCATGTACCTGCTCTATTTAATACAGCAAAATTACATGCGTTTTAAAATAAAATGCAGCAATAAATTTTAATGAATTGTATTCATTTTTCTTCTGCTTCTTTTCCTAAGCATAAAAGAGAAAAAAACTGCATCAATCTTCTAATTAGGTACCTTTGAAATACCCGCGATTACACAGGGTGTAAAAAAGATAACACATATGATTATTTTCGTGCGGTCGGAATTCATATTTTAGCGTTTCCTGCAATCTGATTGTCTCCCGAGCGGTCCGTATGAGGCCGTATGGACCGCGCGAAATATATTCATGAATATTTGCGAAAGACATATATGAACATATTGCCTAAATTGCAAAAGGCAAATAAACCCGGAACCCGGAAGAACATAGCGGAATTCAAAGTTGTCAAATAAACCAAACATACCTTTTTCTCTTAACGCTGCAAATAAATGTACCGGGAAATGACGCTCGGCCCCCTCCATCTTCCACGTTGAACCTGTATAAAAGAATCATAAAAAATTATTACACAACTAAGGGCATATGAGTATGAATCTTGCTAAAAACGAGTGCATGCAAGCATAACAGGTGTCCCTAAAAAGAATCTCCTACAATGAAATCAGACTATTTGTTTGGGCAGAGCTGAACAGTATAGGGCACTGTCGTTTTATGTTTACGTTTACTTTAATTAGTTAGTTTACCTGAGCAACCAGGCCTCTTCCGCCACTTCTCCCAATAAGGGCAAACGAAGAGCATTGGCTACGAAATATTGCTCCAGCTCCAATCCCTCTCAAAGCTCTACGAACACGAAAGTTCAATCCTTGGGAACCATCGCGTTGAATAGCAACAAGCACAAATTTTCTAGAAAACATAAAAAGGTCAGTATCAATTTCTTTTGATCAGGAAATTCAATTTGGTTTTACTTTAGGCCTGGTTTACATCAGTTCTTATCAATCGGAGTGCTATCGTATTATTTTTTGAATAAAGAGCATCTTTTATAGCGAAATAGTGAACTCAATCAAGGGAAAACCCAAATTTTCAGTTCAGTGTAAAGCAGCCTTTGAGGGTGGTTCATACTTGTCCCTGAGAATCGGAGATTCCTTTCGTCCGAGTCTCCAGTGTGCAATGTGCTTTGTCACTGAAAAGTCCCAATGGGGAGCGATCAATTAAAATATTTTTTTCTCTGCCGGATAATAATACAATTGTTAGGAGCCAGTATTGACTAAATCTAATGTGAAATGCTCTTCGTTTGATGACTTTGATCTTTTTATGTTGTACGTGTTCGATTTTCCACTTCGCCAGAGTTTTTGATCGAACGAAATTTTTAACCTAATTTTTAAATTGTGAAAATTCAACCGTATTTTAAATCGATGCTGCATGGGTTATGATCTTGTGCAGTGATTTTAAATGAAAAATTTTTCTTGTCTCAAAAAAGTACTCAGGTTTGATTTGTAACAACTTTCAAACGAGTGCTGGCAGCTGTCGCACTGAAATAGACATTGGCTAGCAATTATTAATTAAGTGTCTATATATAACGTAACTGAGTAGACTTCTGTTTCATCCTCGACCTGGGGATTAACTTCGCTCGGATATTTAAACTTAACAATGTAATTGTGACGGAGCAATTTCAAATTAAAAGGCATCTAAATTCAATAACATGGACGTCGGATTCTCCATTGGTTATGCGCACGTGCGAAATTTGGACCAGTAAAACCTGGTTATCAGCAACCTCATCATTGGTTGAGACAAAAAAGTTTGTATTTTGCTCCAACGTTTACATTTTTTGCGAACAATATTTTTGTAAATTATTGGAAATAAAATATTTCAATAAAATTATATAAAATCCGAGGAATATACATGGACATATAATTCAAGAATCACGGATGTCTAATCTTTTCACTAAAAAGAGGCAAGTTTAAGCGAAAAAAATTTGGAGGCGACAGATAAAGCATTTTCGTAAAAAATTCCGAAAAATAAGACTAAAAATATTTTTTAAATCTTACCCCCGGTGAAAGCGTAGGCTTTTGAGAAAATCAACCATGCGATTGGCAGCAAAATTACTTCTGGTGAAAAACGATCTGCGCTGTTCAACACGCCCTACACAGAAAATAAATAGAAACTTGCAATTATACCTAATTTTCTTTCCATATAAAAGAAAACTAAGCAAATACGAGTAGTAGATACATCAGTAGTAGCTATATACATCGGAAAAAAAACGTAGCTTTGAAGGTAACCTGAAATGTCAGTGGAAAGAATTAAAAATATTCCAAAGAACTACCATATATGCTTGCGGGTAATTATTGTGCGTCCCTTGTAAGATTAGGATTACCTCCACGTTGGCAAGATCAAATCACTATACCAAAGAGTTACTGCCAGGGCAGAGAGGTCACAAGTGGATCAAAAATTAAAGAGAAGAAGATGGTAGCTCTTTGGCAATATTCTAAGGCAGAACAGAATGAGCGATGCAAGGGCGGCGTTAAGTTGGAGACCGGAAGGGAAAAGAAAAAGGTGAAGGTCAACGTTGATTAGCATCGCAGAGATGGAGATGAAAGAAAGAGAAGCAAAAGATGGGACTCACAATTTTATACAGTTTTTAAAATAGTTTTATCGTTTACTAGAAAATGTAAAAATAAACATCGGAATGAAACGGTTGACGAAGTTTCTAAACACTAGCAGACTACTCGTAAATTTTTAGTCCACATATTAAATACACATACCTGTCCTCCCGTTGATAACAACGATATTGTAGCCATTTGAATGCCTGGAATAATCAATTCCGTTGATTCGAATAAATGCGCGACCAGAGCCGGTTCTTCGTCGATCTCTACAACCTTCACTTCTTATGTAGATCCGGATACGTCTTGATGTCCCTCCACCTGAAATAAGGTGAAATATTACTATCATGGCGAGAAAATGTGGATGTAAGCGGGAGGAGTTAAGCGTTTGACTCTCAAGGAGCATACACAAAATATTCAGTAGTTCAGCGAAAAATTTCCAAGATGGCGGCTAGCTAAACGATGCGCGCATAGCCCTGGACGGATTCATCGGGTATTATCTCGTTGAGAAAGTCTATGTAATTTTCCTGCTTAGATTATGCGTTATGCCATTGTAGCAAAACACTATTGCGAATAGCCATACAGTACATAACTTGATTATGTAATATTCCAGCCATAGACGGCAATGTTTATGAATTTATTAAGATTACTTAGAGACCAAAGCTTGGTCACAAAGCTGGTACTAAAAAAAGCCAAATGGATGCATATTCGAACAAGAAAGACCGATATTTAGTTTGTTCTGCTTGCCATTTCTGTGAGTTTTTCCTCGGGAAGTCAGATTTCACGGCTGGAATATACCAATTTTGCACTAAAGTTAGTTCAAAATACCAAACTACGTAAAAATCCTACAGATTTGGGAAGAATCACCCATGGTTCATAGTTAAATGTCGTGATACCGAATGAAATTTCTATATCGCTATATTAAAAATTTTTCGTCGATGAAAGTTGTCACCAGGATCTAGCAATTTTAGGTCCGACATTTTAAGCTTCCTTTAAAGGGTTAAACTTTAAACACAATTTTATTCCTAACTCCAATACAATTCTTTAATAACGCGTCGCCATTTTGTTTACCAAAAAAATTTAAAGTCTACACGATTAACACGCATGCGTGTCCACATTTTCTCGCTATGGGAATATCCGAAATAATTAAAATACGAATTACGAATTTCGCCGAAATATTGCTTAGTTTGTTATGAGCTGAATTCATGCGCAGAGACTTCACATCTTGGAAGAAGAAGAAAATGGGTTGCAAGTTATTTGATTTTTCAAGTCAGATTTATATTTTTTGTCGATTGTGACTTGAACAAACGTTAAGAAATGGCCAAACAAGGGCGCTTGGAAAACTTGAAATGTGCACGTGGTTATAAGAAAGGCATGACACAATTACTCAATTTCAAGTTCAAAGTTTCGATTCTATTTGAGATTCGTTGTCAAACGAGACATTCTAATTTAAGCATTGTTGTCCTGTCTGGACGAGAACTGACGTTTGACAAAATTAAAAACATGAAACCCTCAATTGCTGGTCTGGTTTCACAATGATTCTGAAATAAAGCTAAAATAGAGCCTGTCTTATAACTCTTATATCGTGGTTGAAAATTTCTTTGTTTCTCGGAGTGTGTTTATGAGTTAGTAAATTTATAACTAAAAAGAGATTCAGGGTTTTCTGGGACACCCTGATATTTTTTTTACTTCGAACTCCATGGTGTATAAAAACCAAAGACCGTTCGAATAGCCTCTTAATTTTTTTGTTCATTATCGTCTAACTGGTTTAGTTCGCGCATTTTTAGACAAACTAGTTTTGTAATAAAATTATATGATGTAACATGATGTGTATATATGACCACGAATAGATACATACTTCTCCAGGCTCTGAGATTCATACGAGGTATTCCGGCACACTCTACACGACGAACGTTTCTGTTTCCGGCGAAGAATGCATTTCTTTGGACTGACACGATATTCTTCAAATTATCGCACATAATTCTCGACATTGTAGCCTTGTTAATCTCCCTCAACTGCCAAGGTGTGAACACTCCACTTTTTTTGTAGAAGAATCTGTCGCCATCCCTTAATCGTCTGAATTGCTCCCGAATGATGCACCCAAACGTCGCCCCAACAATTCCACCATTTGCCGGTGCTTCTCCTAGACCAGCAACAAATAAATCTGCGTTTTTAGGACTCCCGTACAGCCTTCGCAGACAAATTCTATTAAGTCGGCTTTGAATTTCTCTGCGTGTACTCCAGAAACTTGTGGCACTTTTCAATCCACAAACATGTCGGTATGCGTTATAACCAGGTAGCCCGTGATCTCTACTGCGCTGGATGTTCAAGGCAGCAAGGTTTAATCCTGGAGAATCTGGACGTTCGAATAACTGTTTCAGCAAAGGAGTGGCAAGTTTCTGATCGAAATTCTCAGATGAATTAGCAAGCAAACCAAGGAGAAGTCCATCTATGCCGTTATCACGTAAGAAGCTGGTGTTGAAAAAAAGATGGGCTAATGGTAAGGGGCTCACTCCTTGCTTAGGATTGAAATTTTTATCAAGGACATCAAACGTGGGCCGGATTAAAGTGTGTCCAAATCTAAACGCAGCGGTGGAGAATGCGTTCAAAAGGTCAGGGTTGACATTTGGGTTGTAGCCTCGATAGCGAGGAAGCGTGTTTCCTATGATAATTGGCAGAAAGTCCTGGTATGTAATTTTCTGCAGCACAGCACCAACAATCTTTCTCGTTTCCTGATAAATTTTTTCACCGTCCCAGCCGGGATTCAGTCTTCCTAATGCACGAGCAATTCTGTTATGTTCCCGAACAAACAATGTATGCATAGAGGTCAGTACTAATTGTTCATTCGTTCGACTGTCACCAGCTAAGAAACATCCACGTCCCCCATTCATTTTATGGCAAAAACGGGCTGGACCCTCTCTTTCGATGCTATCCTCGGGGAGAAATTTGCCATTTACGCCAGGGGTTGTTTTCAAAAGCCCTTTGCCTGTAACAAATGAATTCATGTCAGATCACATATACGATAGCATAAACCAGCATTTATTGTGAACACGAAAGGAAATTTCTAATGTCATAAAATTAGGAGGTAAATTCTGTGGAATATTTCTGTTTTCGTTCGCACTAGATTTTCAGATAATTCAACTTTACCGAACTGATTCAAGCATCTCAAAATTCAAGTCCCGCACTAGTGAAAACAGAACGCTAAAACTAACCGCTAACTAATTCGTCGTCTGAGATAAATCTCTTTTTGATCAATCTAATTTTAATTTAAGTAAAAAAATGACAAAAAATTGGTTGTTTAACAATAAAGTTTGGTCCAATAAATGAGGCAACCAAATATAGAATTTAATACAGTTTTCACAATGTTAATACTTTTGCTAAACGCCTGCGATAAGCTAACTTAACGATAAGGGTTACTAACTTCTCAAATCTCTCAAATCTCTCGCAAGTGTTTTACCGGATCCATAGACCTGCGAGGCATCAACAAATGACGTGTCAACATTAATCTGCTCTCGTTTTGTGAAACGGCCATTCTTTATTTGACATTCACTAGCTGATCTTGCAAAATGAATGCCCTCGGCATTTCCAAACGGTTGGATGGAATAACAGGGTGCTGCAAAATCATCTGCTGAACCGTCGATTCTGTAAGAAATGGAAAAACACTAAACATTGTCATTTCATAAGAGGAATATTCTATTTCATCAATATAATAATAAATATGTCGGATTAAATTACTCTCTTATGATTGATCAGTTAAGAGGTCAATTTTCCTCAATTAGTTCATGGCAAGTTACGCAGCAAAATCACTTGACCCTGATTAAAAAAACTTTCACTTGTGTTTAACAACAACCCGCTCACCTACATGGAACGAAAACTTTTGCTATGTTTGCAATGTTTGCAACGTCAAAGTCGGCATTGCTCGTGACAAAAATATGATGCTTGCGTAGAAAAATTATGCCTTAGAATGCATAATGCAGCCCTTCAAAAATTTTATTATGCCAAAAATAAAAAAAAATCATCATGTTTGGTAATGACTATGGTAGAAATTTTCTAAAAATAAACAACAACAACAACAACAAAAACAGCAATAATAACAACAACAACAACAACAACAAAACATTATACACAGTAGGAAAGACCAGAGAAAAACCCCCAGCAACATTAACAACACAAATTTAAAAACAATTGTAATGTATATAACAACTATAAAAACACATTTCAGGTGGTTTTTTTTAGATAGATTTTAGTATCTGTGGTTCCACAATTTACATCTATTCTTTAACTCGTCGGGTGCATTCCTAGTGTTGTCTAAAGCCAATTTATCAATAAATTTCAATGCAATGAGAAAACGAAGCACATCAAGAGAAATGGCGGCGAGCGAAAAAAGTAGTGACAATTGCAAGCACAAATGTGCTTAACACAATTAAAACAAAAAAAAGAGTATCGCGTTGACAAAAAAATTCTGATTATCCTGGTTCAACTATAGGAGATGTGATAAGTCGAATAATAACTTACGTTATGCCTTGGCAATTGTCCGAACACTGACTTTCCGGTGAAAGACCAACGTCATGATCCAAAAATTGACCGAACTGCATGAGTAAGTGAGAGTGAGGCAATGGCCTCCTTGAAGGCTGATTTTGTTGAATAATAAATCGTTGAACTACTTTGAGCGTCGCAGGAATATTAGGGACGTTCACTTGACCTGGGAAACCGATAGGTTCGTCAAGGCCATCGAAGTCAAAATATTTTGCAGGAACAAGGCGATTGAGAGGACCAGGGGCGGAACCAAATAAAGGATTACGAATATTGTTGCATGTACCATCAATCGTGCGAAATGTAAAAGTTGAACGTGGACAGTGTTCGACTTTCCTTTGTTCGCAGCTATGTCTTCTTGCCAAATTCCTCAGTGCTCCTTGCGAAAATAGGGTGTTGATTCTCCAAGCAAGGAAAAATTTTTCTCCTCCTAGAGTTGTGAAATTATCATTTTGCATTTATTTTTACTCCGTCGCTTAAAACAAATGCATATTTAAGTACATTCAGTCTGTGACAGAACCTGAACTTATATATGAAAACTGACTTTTCAAACACTTCCACTTAGAGCGATAGGGAAATAAAAATTATCTCTATCGCCTTAAAAGTAACATCACGCTTATTTTTGTTAACTTTATTACTTCTCAAAATATTTTAGAAATAAATTATTTTCTATCTTTGATTTGCATATATTCTTGCTTTGATATCCATGACATTCAGTTCGGCCCGACAGATTTATTTAGTAAGTGCGATAGCTTACAGTAGAAATTTATTGGGCAGAAATAAATATATGAATGTTCAAAACCCCCCTTCAATCATCGTTCCAGGTACGTCCCTGGCTACAGATGTATTCTTCATGAAAGCAAACAACGTTTTGATCTCAAAATTATGGACGGAAGGGAATGTACAATTGGCGCAACTAGCTCGACATGAGCATTAAGTCAAGCAGTCGCTAAATACATGCAGTCTTACAAATGAAACGGCAATTCGTTTAAAATCACTGAGATGTGTGTGACTGGACGTTTGGTTCAGTCAAAATCATTAACGTGCATTGTGCTAAGATAACTTACCGCGATTGTAAACCTTCAAGATTCTATTCATTGCGCACTTAAGATACTTCTCGACTTTGACTGCCGCCATCATTTCTTCGCGCGCTTCCCCAGCCTCGTGATTATTGAGTCTGAGCAGAGCGTCTGAATCACGCCCGCCATGCTTTCCACCAAGATCACTTGAACGGTCGTTAATGTTGCAAACGGAATTCAAAAATCGATCACCAGAATTTCTTCGAATAATAACCAATCTCAACCACAGTTTCCCTAAAACTTAGACAGTACCACATTTCAGAAAAACTCTGGCAAGTGCGTTATTGCCGTAAATGCGTACGATCCTGAGTAGCTTTTGACATCCTCCTCGACGATGTGAAAGGAGATTTGCGGTTATTCCAATAGGACGCACATCTTCTGTCAGAAAAATTTCTATATCGATGGCGCCGAAAACCTCTTTTACCTGAGGGAGAATGTATTAAAAGAAGAGAATAAATTTAGCAAAAAATTATCTTGTATCTTAACTGGAATCCGGAATAAAAGTTGACCAAACAAACCCCAAACTTCAAATTCTGGGAACTAAATATTTGTGCATGGCAAAGGAGAATACATGCAGTTATCTAAATTAAAGTTGCCTGTGACATGCAATTGTAGAATGTGAAATGTGAATGTTGGTGCGAATAATCATTATCTTCAAGGTTTAGCATATCAGTAGCCTCTTAGGGAATATTTTTTACCAAAACTCGCAATGCAAATGCCAGGTTTATTGAAAACTATTTTTCTTATCTTTGTCCCCACGTTTTGTGAACACGAAAATGTCTTCTAAAGTCTGCTTGTAATTGCAAGTTCCTGATTCTCGCATCATGTGTGGAACGTCACCCTGATTGACTTTCAGGACCCAGCGAGCACTGCCTCGAATTAGGCTCTAGGAATTGTTCCCAAACATGCATATACCCAATGATTTTACTGTCTTGAGCCTTATAACTGATACGATAAGTATACTATACAACAACTCGATAGCTCTTAATTTATTTTATCAGTGCGACATTTCGTCGACAAGCTGTTCACCTTCGTTATGGTACATTCCTGTACGATTTTAGTTCCCTTCACGAAAATAATTCTTACAGGCCCCTAATAACCTATTAGCTAGAGAAACTGGAAATGAATATTCTTGTATGAGTTTGTTTCGAAGCTGTGTGTATTATTGCATTCATATTTCAGGTAATGCAAATATCTATAGAGTTTCAGATTTTAATTTAAGATTGCGCATTCAAAAAACACTGATTTACAGCGTAAATTAATAACCTTTAACGCTGAACAGTTTTGTAGAATTAAATCGTTTTAAAAGCTGATGTGTTTTAAACCGCTACATCTCATTTTGTACCTCTGATAATAAATCATGCAATCACTAGCGTCTAGTCATAGAAACATGATGAAATTCATGCAACCTAATTCAAAGTGACGGAAGTTGGGTTTATTCGCCGTTCTTAGTCGTTTTCAAAAATTGCATGCGGATGACCCCGATAAGTTTTTATGTTCATTCAACTGCCATACTCGTCTTATATCCACTCCCAACCCCCACCACACTCACCAGCTGGTTCGTCTTCTTCTGTCTCTGAATCTTCTGACTCTTCATCAAAATCCTCTTCTGAAAAAGAAATGAATGCAGCTTGTTTCATTCTTACATTACAGATAGCACATCAATTTATTTTATTTTGTTATATGTCTTATATTTATTGGTCAGTTTGCCTATTTGAGATACTACATGCAATATTTAAAAATTTGGTGAATGCCCGGTAAGCGTTTACCGGCGTTCAGCCTTAGTTACTCACTTACCAAAAGGTTCGTTACATCTTACTTTGATAATATTTTTGCACTTTTGCATGGTGACATCAAATAAGTTAATTCGCTTGTAGGTACACCACGTAAGTATTTATTCATACAAAGCTTTCGGTCCGTTAACCAGGGCCTTCGTCATTGCAATAATGAAGAAGAACTGATGCAATCAATCAATTGTACTGATGAAAGCCCGCGTTAACGCACCGATAACGTTACAGTAATAAATACTTACGCAATATACCTAACAAACAGCTAGTTGATTTATATTTTACAATGTTTAGTAATTTATAGGACACCTTGGCATGAGATGATGTTCTTTTAACCATAGGCAGCAACTTACCAGTAGGTTCTTCTTCTTCTTCCACTTCTGATTCATCTTCGAAATCCTCCTCTAAAATAACAGTGATACAATTTAACAGTGATACAGTTTTAGTCGCACAATTCTAGTCACAGGAGTTTTAAATTTTTTGTTAGGGTAATATAAAGAGAACTTCTTATACAATATAAAGATATATTTCAGTTCAGTTTCATTTTCATGTGATACATAGCAATAACCATTTGTTTTTTTAAAATTCCTATAAAGCGTAAGTACGCATAGTATTACCATTGCCAGCAAATGGTATACCTGTGGGTTCGTTCTCTTCAAATTCTGAATCCGGATAATCGTCTGATCCCAAGGCAATATCGTCTTCTAAGATTGATCGTGATACAACTTGCATTATAGTTGCACAATAATTCAATGTTTCTACAATTATTTCATTTGCGGTAAATCTCATACAGCTCTGTCGCGAGTATTTTTACGCGGTTGCAACATTCATCATAACTTTATGACAGCGACTATGCATTAACTTCATTCAGATCATATTGCCCAAAATATTTACACTCTATTTGGCATGTGACCAAAATATCGCTGTGCAATATATCAACTCGGTAATTAGTCATGAATCAGCCTCTTACCACTAGGTTCATCCTCTTCTTCTTCTGAGTCCGAAGATTCGCCCGATACCCCTTTAGGATTTCCTTCTAAGTTGACACAATATGGTTATTGATGTTGGTGATAATTTTATACTACTGAATGACTTTATTCATAGTTTCACACAGTCTTAAGTACGAGTTTAAGTTTACTCAATGTAACTGGTAACTTGCCAGTAGTGTCGTCTTCTTTTTCTGCTTCTTCTTCGCTTGGAGAATCTTTTGATTCTTCAATCGAATCTCTTTCTAAAATTTACGTTAAAACAGCATGAATTCGTCTCATATTTCTGACTATGTAATAGTTACATAGAGACTTTATAAGTTTAAGCCGGTTCAACTGGCATACCCCAATCTTCGTCTTCTTCGGCTTCAGAGTTCGGAGAATCTTCTGATTCTTCTTTAGAATTCACCACTAAAACGATATGACGCACGTTAGTCTCACAATACCGCATGGCTATTTTTCTAATTACAAAGAAATGTAACAGAGCCTATTGTTTTCTAAGATTTCAAGTCGTGGACTTTGGTTTATTTACCTACCTCGCCTTCAACCCATTTGAATCAAGAGAAAATACACTTGCCTGTGTCTAACCTGTATATTTGTATATTTCGTAGCGTTCAGGTACAGATTTAATTAGATTAATCACTTACACATTAGCTTATTCACGCCCGATGATGAAAACCTTTTTGGGGCACTCGTTGGGAGTTCTCTCGCTCCCATCCTTTGAAAGTAAGAAAAGGCCAAAATCACGAGAAAATCTGTTTCAAAACCTAGACCATTACACTACACATAGATAAAAAGTCTTACCACTGTAATTCGTAAATCAAAATAGTTGAAATGACCAAAAAGAACATTTCTCGATTCGACATTTTGTTAGGCGTTTGTTCTCGCAAGGCTACTCGATGAACTGATGACCTGATTTACTCTTCACGTATCTTTATACACACTAGCTACCTGTAACTTTACTTGTGACCAAAAATTTTGATTACTATATACCTTGGTTAGTATCTACGTTTTGGGGAGCGAAATTGCTATATCAGTAAAACTAGTACTACAGTGGTATTTAATGGGCAAGAAAAAAATTATCATGTTCCAATATACTTTCACCACCTTTTAACTCCGTGATCAAAATCGTAAAGAAATCAGTTTTGAGTAAACATAATAGAAATTTATTTAAAAAAGTACTTTTTTTCGGGCCACATGAAAGAACAACGGCAGTTTATGAAAAAAATTAAAACGCGTTAACGTTATTAATCATTAATGCATAGGTCGAAATTAAGCGCGTTAAATTACATGTACCTTTGTCTACTATTTGGTTCTCGTGTAAAAAAACAGAGATTACTTTACATCTTCAAGTCATTTTCCCATTTCATTTGAATCAATGTAGTCGTTTTTAAAAGTGCCTATAGAAAACATTTTTTTCTTGGAGCTATATTTTTTGCACTCCATTTACGACTTTTGTATGTACTAAAATGGATTCTGAAGACCGATTGACTTCTGAATTATCACTCATGATTTTCCTAGAAATTTGGCATTGTTCGAAACAGGTGACTTTGCACGCGTGATGGAACATGAGCCTCGCCACGAAGGTATAAGCAATATAATTTGTACAATTTTGAAAAGGTGCAAACATCGTGCTCTAAATTTCTCTATCATATTATTAATAAAACGACTAGGATGTTTTTGCTAAGTCCTCGAAACTATATTTCAATTTGCGACTTACATGGCGATTCTAACATATGCAGGGTCCTTTCTTTGTTCATGCGGAACGGGCACCAGTTGAAGCGACGGGTGCCTTTGTTACAGTTATGTTAAAGTAGCCGATACATAAAATAACGGGGAAAGAGCAAGATGCTATGAATTTCAAACTGGGCGATCCCCAATTAGTATGATCATTTCATTAAGCTTATGAGTTACCGTTACAATAACAAAGTTTATTTGCTGTCGCGTCTCGCAAGAAGAAATGATTGATTTTTTATTTAAATATTCATCATATCAATGAGTGGCATGTAAAGGATGATGCTAAATCGTTTTCTACTATACAAAAGGAAATTGTTACCACATTGAGACGAAAATGCATGGGGTAACATGGATAACACGGAGTTGGAGTTTCAGAGCCGGAGTTCCTGGGTCAAAGTTACGGAATCTGACGTCATGATATTGGAAAACACGGGGTCAAAAATTATGGAAAACGGAGTCATATGGAAAACACGGAGAGGATGGAAAAGGTGAAATATAGATATTTGGAAAACACGAAAAAATCTAATAATGGACTCCGGACTCTGATGAGACGTATATTCATAAATAAAGGATGTTATCTTTTTAACTTCAAATACGGCGCGCAATTTAATTTTACATTAACGTTATTGCCGTCCGATCAAATTTCAACATTTTCAAGTGCGCTCATTCGTACTCGAATATCTCGCGAACGAAAATACACACCGCCACGAAAATGTTTTACATTATAGTCTATATATAGTTGGTACGTACCTTCTAAATGCTGGGGTACTTAGTGTCTACGAAATGAGCGTCTACGTCTACCACTTTTAGTTTTTGCATCTGGCAAATTACCAAAATCATATTCAACATTGTAGGTATAAAAAAATGTGTGCCAAATCAGGACTTATCCAAACAATTGAAACATGTGGTGAAAATATTCCCCTTCTTGCCAGATTATGATTCGACCTAAAGTTAACTACATACAATCATTCTACTCAATAATGCAGGTAGTACATTTACAAGAAATAAAACTATTTATTTACTTGTGCAAGTAGACAGCTCAACAATTTACATGAGTAATGGTTTGAAGTAAATTATCAGGTGGGTATGCCAGTGTGAGTAAAGTAAACTAACTTTACTTTTTTGTTTTTTTTTTAATTTATTAATCACAACAAGACAATTTACATGCAGAAGAAATGATCTATACTCATCACATTCTTTACTATGCCATGCTTTGAAACAATTATAATCATTAGAAATGTGGAAATACTTTTTTTTGGCACTCAGGACCTTCACAAAAAGTATTTACACGTTTCTCCCCCCCCCCTCTCTTCCTTATAATAAAGAAAGCAATTGCGCCTTACACCAGCCTCGAACCCAGGTGTATGCTCTATATGGAAAGCATCTGGATTCACGATTTGTTTAGCTTAATTCGTCAAACACCGGAGGGTTACCGTTAGTCTGGCATATGGCACAATTGCCTTACAATAGCCTTCCGATAATCTACAATATTATACCCTTTCTTACGCTGCAGTTGTTTCATATCGTTGTGTTCTGCCCGATATTTCTGAAAAAGTATAAAACTATTACCAATTGCCATATCTACAAGATGATAAAACAACATTTTCCACCACCTATAACATTTCCTACGAATATTATGGCATGCAAGAAGCTGATCAGATCAAATTTCTGGCCCACCATTGCCCTTCTTTTAGCTCTCACCTTGTCATCGGCTGAGTCAATGGTAGTCAACACTGATACAGGCTTGTTGTCAACCCACTTCAGTGTCAATACTTCTGACTCCCTAACCCACCGTACCCCTCCACGCTTCTGGATCTTGGCCCAGGCTTTTATGTCCTTTAGACACTGCGGGATTCCTTTCTATTTATTCTGAATGCGCCTGTGGAAGGGGTACCATGCAAGAATAAGTCCCTAACCGAAGGCTGGTAAAATTGCTCACATCTCTCTCTAAAAGACTGAACAAAAGAATCTACCTTTCGCAGTTTATTACTGCGGTCTTCAGTGACAGGGTCTACCACATGCAGGAATGCCATTACAGCCTTATAACGAGAAATTATTTCTCTTGCCCACATTCTATGATATAAGGTCTTTACACTCCAAAAATTTGTAATTTCACTGTCGACCCTTACAAAACTGGCATACACTAAAAAGCTCAATCTCTTCAAGGTTGCTGAGTTCCCAAGCCCCGTCCTTCTTCGTGTAAGTGGATGGTTGAGAACGCACTTTTATGTGGGCATAAGCGTTGGTGTGAGTGACTACCTCTTGAAGCATTTCCCTTGTGAGGAAGAGCCGAAACTTCACGGTTCATACTTCTGGCACTTAAAGCATGATCTAGATGGATCCCAACAGCTCTGCTAGGGGCAAAATCTGGAAGAATATTCCTAGTATCAGGATCACAAAATCCTTCATGCACTTTGGGGTCTGGTGGGTTACGAGACAGGGAGCTTTCACCTTGGGTCCTAGTGGGTTAACCCCTTCCTTTCCCCCTCCCTCTCCCCCTCCCTCGACTCTTCCCTTTAGTCTACCCAGGGCCGTAGCTAGAAGCTTAATTGGGGGGGGGGAAAAATGCATTTATTCGTATTATACTAGACTGATTTCTTTTACACGCTATTGTTCCAACGGTACATAAACATGAATATATGAATATACACCCCCCCCCCCAATTAAGCGGTCTAGCTACGGTCCTGCCTCTACCCTTAGACCTCTTTAAGGGAGCGGTGTTCTGAAGACGTATCATAACTACAAATTTCCTCAACAGCACTAGCAACATTGGTAGCAGCAGCAACATCAGTATCTTCATCACTAAAAAATGTTTTATATAATTGTAATTCACATATTGTCACCAAAAGTACACTTGAGAGAATCAAAATAATTACAGATTAGTATACTTGAGTCTACTCTGTGTATGCAATAGAACACACGCCCAAAGGTCACTTTGCTTTGCTTACTAATGCAGTTATATTCGTAATTAATTTTGAATTTTCGACAACGATACAGTATACACAACTTACATTTAGTAATTCTGGTTTAGAAAGGTTATTTGGAGAAAATAATCTAATATTGAAATGTAAAAGTAATGCTCTTTATGCGAATGATTTCCGCGTCATGGCAACCGCAAAACAATGTAGAAAAAATGACCTAAATATTTACCTTGAAGCTCCAGAAATGGTGCCTAACTCGCGATTGATGAACTCTTTTTCGTCTGAAGACATTCCATTGTCACTAGCACAATCAGAATCATCTAAAGTGAACGTACTAGCAGAATCCATGTTTACAATCTGACACGCCAACGGAAAATGAGAGCGCGGAAGCGATTTTTGAACTTAATATACCCGTAGCTGCCATAGCAATGACGATTTTGGCATCCGAAGTAAGCCAACCGCTTCTCGAACGGTGTACGATTTTGATATATATATTTCATATATATACATATATATATATATATATATATATATATATATATATATATATATATATATATATATATATATATATATATATATATATATATATATATATATATATAGTGTCAAATAACCACTGTCATCATTTATCACCTGAAGAGCTAAGAGAGCGAAAACGTTTGTGAATAAAGTGCTATTAAAAAATACAAAGCAGTGGTTATGTTCGAATAATATCTCTCTAGTTGACAAGCAACCTTTTTCTATATATATGTATATATATATATATATATATATATATATATATATATATATATATATATATATATATATATACTGTCGTTGTCAAAAAGGTTGTCCTGAGCAAGTATATGTATATATCGATCACGTGATATTATTATGCATCAACACGCGTGGGATTGTACAAGCGTGTTAATTGCGAGTTCGAGTATAGCAAGGTGAACGATTAGAAAATGCCAAGACCATATTCGGATGATTTAAGTTGGAGAATGGTTTAGCAACGACTGTTCTACGAAACAATCATCGACGAAATTGCAGCACAGCTATTTGTTTGTTCAAAAACCGTCTATCGTACTCTCAGCACCTTTTGGAACACGGGTGATGTGAAGCCTTGCCGTATGGGTCGCCCAACAGCGAGCGTATCTTTATTCCCACACGAAGAATATATTATCATGGACTGTTTACTGCGAACACCGCAAATATAGTTGAATGAGATAGCAAGCTATATGTAAACC